TATTTTATTTTATTTTATTTTATTTTATTTGAGACAAGGTTTTGCTTAGCTGCCCAGGCTGGGCTTGAACTTGTGCTCTTGCCTTCACCTCCCAGGGTACTAGAAATACAAGCGTGTTCCAGCATGCCAAGCTGAGAACTTGCTGAGAAGCTACTATTAACATTCCTACCAGACATGCCAAGAGCTTGGTAACCAGATAATTAATGCACAGTAAGCCTCCTTTCTTTTTATAATAGTAGATCTCATCTGTTTTATGAAACCTTAACAGGTATTCATTTATTTTCATATTTAGCCTACATATTCTGAATGTTTCCAAATCATGTGCACAATTAGACACTAGATGTGTTTCTATTTTGGTGAAAATGATTATCAGCTGCATACTCCAATATACAATGTATGTAAAGCTGGCCGGCGTGCTTTAGTGCCACACCCCAGACTAGAGCGAGGTGATTCAGTCTAGTGAGCGAGTGATTCATTCTCTTCAAATAGTGAGTTACATACAAATTGACGTTTAAACTCAGATCTTTTGTTGCTCAAAGTTTCTTACATCAAGGGTTAGCATCCTCTCTTAAAGAGTTTATCAAGTATTCATTATTAATTCCTAAGAGGCAGTCAGCCTGAAAAATAAGAAGCATTGCCGTGCAAGATCCAAGGGGAAAGACCTCCAGCTTTGTAGGCAAACGGATGACAGTTTAGGATTGGTAGTGTTCATTCCTCCCCTCCCTTTTTCCTCTCCTTTTCCATTTTCCTATATTTAGTGAGGGTAACTTTATTAAGCCTCAAGAATTTTCCCCAACTTTTAATAAATGACTACTTCCAACAGCCAGATATGGGAACCCCAAAACCTGGGAAGCTAAGGCAGGAGGATCACCATGAGGTCGGGGCCAGCCTGGGCTACACAATGAGCCCCATCTTCAAAAGGCTGGGGAGATAGCTCAGCAGCATAAACACCTGCCTGGCAAGTGCAAGGTCCCAAGTTTGATCCCTGGTACTGAGAAGAAAAAACAAACACCTGAGAGATCACCATACCTAAGTATCTGCTAATATAACAGACATAATTGGAAGAAGGGATCCTCACAGGGAAGATGGAAGAGTATTAAAAAAAAAAAAAAATAGAAACCTAAGTTTCTCATATTCTCTTGACAGAGGCTCTTAGGTTCATGTAATTATTACTGCAAGCACAGATCTACCACAGACATCCTGTGTCCTAAATCTAAGTCTGTGGTACTATCTAGAGCTGCCATTTTCTTCTTAAAATATCCAATTAAAGGATATAATTGTTTAATTTTTTATATTTTCTCCTAATTTGCGTTGAGTAAATAGTGTTTGAGGACACAAAAAAGTGATTCTAATAGTCTTTGTCATAATTTTTTCCTATGGAATCATAAAAAACTACATCTGTGTGCATAAACACAGACACAGACCTTCACCTCTCTCCCTCCTGGTCCTACCATTCTCACTTAACCACCTCAATTTGCAATTAAAGTCAAAAATGTGATTCAAATGAAAAACAAAGAAATTTAGGATTTAGGTGTATCACTTCAAAGCATACCAACAGTATGTACCCAACCACTCTTGCTTTGCTTAACTACCACAGAACGTTTTCCCAGAAAAGTTTTCTATATCAGAAACCTGAAAGTTTGTCCCATATTTACAAAAATTATTAATACTGTTGGATTAAGATAAGAGCACATTCTAGAATGAATTAAATGGCCAGTTAATGTGTGCTTACACTCCACATTTTAGCCATAATAAGCTTCCTAAGTCCACCCCTGCCCCCCAGGCTGAGTCTTCATGGGCTATTACCTGCAGGATAAAGTTTCTAATCCCTAGGATGACCTGTGTATTCTGTCTTCTGCCTTCCTTTTCTGACTTCTCCCCATACCCTACCCAGACCGCTATAATAACCTTCTATCAGGGCCTTAAATAGGCAGTGTTCTTTCCATCTCAGGGTCATTACACAGATTGCTTCCTCTATCTAGGTAACTCTTCTCTGAAACTATCATGTGTCAAGCCTAAACTTGACCTTCTTTGGGCAAACCTTCTATGCCTCCCCACCTCCTACCATCGAGCTAGATAGGGCAATATTACATGTTTCTATAGCATTTTGCCTTTCTTCCTCATGACATCAGTCATGTTTGTAATTCTTTGTTCAGTGTACATTTAGTAAGAGTAGATAATGTGCTGATTTTGCTTATTTGTACATTATTATTCCCCTGGCAAAAGTGCCTGGCACAAAGGGTACTTCAATGTTAAATCAGTGAATTTAAAAAAAAAAATCAAAAATAAAAAAAACCCATGATTTTCAAGTAAATGCCTAAAATTCATGACCATCTTACTGAGGAATATTCTCTAGAAGTAATTCCTAAGCAGTTAGAATTTTGTTGGACTAAACCATTCTGAAGGGATTAAGTATTTAACAAAATGAAAGTTTTAATTAAATTAAATCACCCAGAAATTGAATAAAGACTACACTTAACAGACTGAGGATACCTCAAGCTGGACATGGTAGCACATGCGTATAATCCCAGCACTCAAGAGGCTAAGCAGAAAGATTGCAAGTTTGGACTGGCCAGATAGCTCAGCAGATTAAAGCACCTACTTAGGCAGATGCAGGGGCTGGGTGTTTGATCCTGGGCCTGCCATGCTGGCCCCGTCCCCAGGGCGCACTGAGACAGTGATTGAGACTGGGGGCATTGTAGTAGTAGTGTTTGGATGGGATGTCCTGGCTGCTTCTTGTGCTGTGGATGACTGCTGTGAAGATAACAATGTGCAATGTATTAATTATTGAAAATGTCCTATTAATCAGCTTGGAAAGTGTCTCATTGATATTTGTTTCTCAATAAAATAAAAATAAAGAGAGACTGGGGGGTTGGCGCATGCCTATAATCCTAGTGCTTGGGAAGCTGAAAAACAGGAAGGAAAGCACAAGTCTACATATTCTGAATGTTTCCAAATCATGTGCACAATTAGACACTTACTAGATGTGTTTCTATTTTGGAAAGGAAAGCACAAGTCCCACAAGTCTGATTTGTGTAGTGAGACCCTGTACTAAATACATAAAAAAAAAAATAGATTGCAAGTTCAAGGGTAGCCTGGACTGCATGCTGAGACCCATCTCAAAAAAACCAACCAAACAAAAAAAGTTAAAAATAACTCATCAATTGTTTCACAGCAAAGTCTCAGATTTGACATCTCAATTATTCTTATTTTACTCTATTTTCTAATTTGGGATTCAGAGGAACAACAATCCCTTTCATTATTTGGTAGGCGAAAAGAGATACTGCTGGAGCAGGATGGCAAGACAGAAGAGAGGCTATAGCTTAGCAGTCTAAGCACCTGCCTGGCAAGCACAAGGACCCAGGTTTGATCCCTGGTACCCCATGTGGTGCTGGCCTGGGAACCTGAGTGCACCCACTCATCCTGAAACCAGGCACAGTGGTGCATACCTGTAATCCCAGCACTGGAGAGGCTGAGACAGGAGGATCACTGTGTGTCTGAGCTGCATAGCAAGACCCTGTACCAAATAAAGAAAGAAAGAAAGATTTGTTTTGGTTTGTTTTTTTGGTGCCAGGGACTGAACCAAGAGTTTCTAGCTTGCTAGGCAAGCATTCTACCACTAAGCCAAATCCCCAGCCCCAAGAAAGAAAGATTTAAAAGAAAGAAAAAATACATTTAAAAATTCAGGAAGAAATTTGTTTGGATTAGGGCATAGATTGAAAAACTCTGTCTTCTATTTCTCACCAGAAAAATGTTTAAAATTCTAGCATCTTTTTTCCTTCTGTAATGAGCTAGACCTAAATAAATTGAATACAATATTCTTGCTTGCCATGGTTGTACACATCTGTAATCCCAGCATTTGGGAGGCTGAAGCAGGATGATCCCAGTGATTTTGAGGCCAGTCTGGGCTACACAGTGAGTTCAAGACCAGCCTAAACTATGTAGGGAGATCACATCTCAAAGGAACAAAACAAAACAACATAATCAAAATGATGATGATGATACATTGAATATAATATTCTTAAGTAAGCCAGCTAGGCATGGTGGTGCTCAATGTAATTCCATCACTCTGGAGGCCAAGACAGGAGGCTCACAAGTTCAAGCCCAGCCTACAGAACAGTTTAGTGAGATCTGACTCAAAAATGCTTTCAAAAAGCCAGAGATATCTCAGTGCAAACACTTTGGGTTCGATCCCCAGTACCACAAAAATAAATAAGTTTTAAAAGGACTATATCTGATTTCAAAATATATGATAGGATTAAATTATTTTTCTGGAGGCAAATTGTCCAAATAACATGTTATAGTATGCCCACCAGTGGCTGGCATTTAATAGAAAACGAATAGTGCTTCTTTTATTATGCACATAGTCATAGAGTAGTGTAGGCTAAACTTCTCTTAATCAGCAATGTCACATGACCAAGTATACGATGCCAAGAAACAGAACAGCTTCTACCTACTTACTGAGCATGTCTCAGTAGCATGCCTGCTTTACCTTTCATCAATGAGATGAGGTTGATGATTTGTCTAAAAGCTAAAGAGAATAAGAAGGTTCATGAAAGACAAAATGTGCTGCCCAAGCCTTCTCCTGCCTTCTCTCAAACTAACGTTTCTAAAGTGACTCTGACTAGCGTGTGCTGGTTCTCTCACTTGCTAGTTTGCTCTTCTCTCTCAAACACTGGGTGAGATGCTTCTGTTATGTTCCTTCAAAGCATCCAATTCTTGGTCCAAGCATACATAGATGGATTTGCTTCTTTTTTAACAGTGTTCTGGGGGCCTGGGGAGAGAGTTCAGTGGCATAAGCACCTGCCTGGAAAACACATGGTCTCGAGTTCAATCCACAGTACCAAAAAAAAAATAAAAATAAAAATAAAAAATTCCTGTGGTGAGACTAACTTTATAGGGCATGCTAAGCACTGAAATACAACATGGAGGCAGCAATAGATATTACAAAGATTTTTCAGCTGGAGAAAGACTTTTTTTTTTTTTTTTTTTTTTTTTTTTGGCAGAACCGGGGATTGAACTCAGATCCTTGAGTTTGCCGGTCAAGCACTTATCCTACTGAGCCATCTCCCCAGCCCCATG